TGTCATTTGATGCCTCTTGCAGATGATAAATATCGGCCTAAGACAGTAGCATAAATAACGGCCTCACTGTGAAAGATAAAAATACGGTACGGAAACAGCCAGAAAAATCAGACCACAATACCACGGTCTGAGATCTGTTTAAGATATGAGCGCCAATGCTTTCAGATAAGCAAATGATGATGATGATATACGTAAAGCAATTAAGCGTAAAATAAAACATGAAATAAGAAAACGTGTGAAAACACCTTGCAGCCTCAGTGCGACTTCATTCATAAAACAGAGCATGCGTCAGATCTTGTAGAGATTAACGCTGAATTAAATAAAATAACCGACAATTGAGAACACAGAAACTCACTATGCTCGGGTATTGCTGTTAGATTCAGCAGTGAGAAGAAAATTAGACTCGTCAAAAATTACATGCTCATCACCAAGTGCCGTGTCCACTCGTGTTGGCGATCATGCTGCTCCACAGCTCGCTATTTTAATGTATCATTTCGTTTGGTAAACACTTCCATGCTGTGGTAAAATACTGCTGAGGATCTTTCTCTATCCCTTTCATCATAAAGTAATTCAGTGGCCACAATTTTTGTTCTAGTTTCCGACTTCTTATAAAGTGCCACTCCACCCCACCCACCCCCTACCCTTTCCTCTCCCCTTTTCCTCATTTTTCCGGCGTAGGAAAAAAAAAATAAGTTACGGCCCTTGCCTACACACCCTCTTCCTCTAAGTAAGTAAAGGAACCGTTTCCATGCCTTTAGGCATATAGGGCATATAGGGCATATAGGGCTAGACCTATATTTTATAGACTAATTGGCACAACATGGGTGATGAGTCAGCGCCACGCCGGCCACCTTTAATTCCTGGGACTGCACCCTGTACCCACTCAAGGCTGAGTCGACCTGGGAGCCAAGGTCATTTTTGACAAAAGTCCGGGAGTAAACCCACGCCCTTCCGATCAGCGGCGAGAGTCTAGCCGCTCCGACACGGCGACTCCCATCCTCTCCCTGGCTACAATCAAATTCCTGTATTATCGTGTCGCAGAATTTCTGCCATCCAGAATAGTCAGTGATATTTCTTGCAGAGTTTAACTGACTTCAGAAGAGCTGAGCTGATTTCCAACACTAATGGTACCTTTAGCACGTTGATTATACGTTCGTCTTGCATTTCCTTTGGGCGTCGGGTATTGGCCAGGTTCCCTCCTCACTCCCAACTGCATCTTCTCACCACTGTGGTGATTTATTTACTCCTCCGAATTGTACACGTTCTCCCACAAAGCCCTAACCACATCTGCCTCATTATGAATCAATTTCTCACTTAGCTGTGCAGAGCCAGTCAGTCTCTCCAATGCAACAGCATGTTCAGAAAAAAGATCCATCGATGCTCTCAAGCGTGACCTCTCTAGCTAAGCACAAAGCCTGCCATTCATCACCTTCCTCAGCAAGCTTTCTGAGTGAGTCAGACTCTTACAAAGTCCTCAGATAAGTGATTTAGTGAAATGTGTGTTTGTGTGTGTGTGTGTGTGTGTGTGTGTGTGTGTGTGTGTGTGCGTGCGTGCGTGCGTGCATGTGCCTGCGTGTGTGTGTGATTGTCATCAGCTGATGAATTCTTCCTAGCCGTAACGTTCATTTGTCGTGAGTGGGTTCGACAATGTGAGGTTGACAAGTTGTACCTCCCGGATGTTTTGATATCTTTTCATGGCACCCATAAAATAATGATTCTCTTTCTAGTGTTTGAGCTGTCTGCGTGCAGACTTTTTCGAAATCACTTAACGTAAATACATGTATATGAGTCCAGTTGTCACGTCTTCAACATCTTTCAAACATTAGTGGTCGACTCTTATCGTGGGTATAAATGCGTTGGGTAGATATGGGCCTGACTTAGAATTCTGAGCTTAAAATGTTTAGGGCAACTTGTACACAGCAGTTTACAGTATATAACTCAATTTGACTGCTTTAACTATCATCACCATGTAGCAGGTCCTTTGCAAAACGTCGCTCTCGTCACGGTTTATCTGAATAGAACTCGTTCTCTCGCCAGCTCTCCTGACTCCTGCGCCTTTCTGCCCTAGGATTAATTTATATAATCTCGCCATCTTCTCAATGGGTGCCCCCCTGCACCTCCTTCCTTGTACCATTTATGTGTGGCTTTTGAAATAACTGTTTAGGATTCACAGTCGTATGTCAAAACAGTTTCTAAGTAGCATACGATGGTACACAGAACAAAATTTAAGTGATTTGGGCCATAGAATAGAGATATTAAAGTTAATATGATACAGTTTATCAATGACTTCTCCAATATACACAACTACATATGCCAAGTTGCCCTCTTGTTTCGAATTATATATATTCTCATAAAGGATAACGGAAATACAATGTGGCTGTTATCTGAATAGTTCGTTCAATTAGACTCTAGAGCGGACAGAAAACAATGAATATTCGCAAACTATTGAAGACATTTATTACGGGAAGCAGAAAACAAAGTTAGCAACCGATTCATTAGCCCTGTTTCTGTATTGAAAAAACTGACGTAATATAATAATATTATACATTTCTACACAACGTGAGTTTAAAAACAATAATAATTAAGATATAAATGTGTATTTACAATGTTCTGTTGTATTGTAAGTGGCACAGGTTTAAATATGAGACACTTTACAAATCTGTACATAAGAAAAAAAGTATCCAAAAAGAAATAATTGTAAAGTGAATACGTTACAGTATTACAACAGAGTATAATTTCTAGTGAGTAATTCTGAACTGGTATTTATACATTTTTAATACAGGTAACATTATTTCTAAAAATAGTCATTGTAAAGTGAATATTAAACATAATTACGACAAAAGAGTATAATTTAGTGTAAGAAAGTCTAATTTGGTAATTATGTAAGATATACATAGGATAATATTCAGACACAATGAAATATCGGTTGCCGGAAGCGCTGAAGTATAGTTGGCTTTCAGTTAAAAGTTGAGAAGGGTGAGCAATTATTATAATTTATTTTGTGCATAGGAATAAAGAAGAGAATACAATCTCCTCCAAAACGAGGAAAACATCTAGTTTATACAAAAATTGCTGAATTTAACATAGAGTTTTCTATACAGTCACCTCAAAAAACATTTTTTTTTTTTTTTTGGTTATAACTTTTTTTTTTTGGGTTCCATAATTTTGAGAGCAACGAATGATAAAATAGTCTTTGCGTGTATTCTAAGTCAAGAATAACAGTAGTTCGAAACGCAACAAGCAAACATGTTAGTGGAGGTTCCGACAGCATTGTAGACCAGAGATCTCCAAGCTAGCGGTGAGGTGGGGTGGGGTGGGGTGGGGTGGGGTGGGGGGTGGAGGTTGGACGGGGGGGGGGGGGGTGGGCGGATTTCAACAGGGCATCAAGCAGTTTGGAAATGAGTGCACCTATATTTGTATTATTCTCTTACAGTTTTTTTTTCCAGTTTAATTATGAATAACGTAATAGAAATATCTTTGAAAACTATTCAGAAAACAAAAAGCCAAGGACATATTTGTTTTCCTAAGCGTTTTGTATATTTACAGTTAAAAATCTAACTATTATGATAACACAGGTATTTAATTATAGTTTAAGAACACACTCTGACCAAAACGTATCTCCATACTGTCAGTTTTCCATGTGGCGAGATCTACTGTCCTTCTCTTTTTCATTACATTTTGTTATTTGGGGGGAGAGGGGAGGGGGTGGGGGGGGGGGGGGTTGTGCTACAGGGGCGTTGGGTATTGCAAAATACCAAACTGTTGTGGTTGTGGAGGAGGGGGGGGGGAGCATGCGGTACTTTCCATTTACTCAAGGGGGCGCGGGTGTCTTGCCATATACTAAAGGGGGGTGCAGATGTATAACCGTGTGGTTAAAGTAACGTTAATCACCCCAAATTGAGTCGGTCACTTTTCATTCACAAGTTTGTTGGGCTGGTTGATTTTCCTGAAGGTTACTGGTGTGTCCTGCTCTATGGTTTGCTTTTTGTGTAGACTTGCATATACGTTTTCATTCCGAGAAAGAGAATGCCCGTGACATAGGTTGCAGCACTCTCTGGAAAAAGGGGGGGGGGGGGGTGGGGGGGGGGGTGTTAGTGCCAGTTACTTAATGTTTTTGGAGCGTTAAAAGTATTGGCGTGCTGAAATAACATTTTGCGATATCAACGGCATCGGGGAATACTCTCGTAACCGTGTGCCAAGGTGACAGGTTCAGGAACTACCAATCAGAAGGGATCTAGTGTGTATATGAAGGGGGTGGGGGCGTAGGGAGTTTAACGTTACGTGTACCTGCCGTGTAATTAAGGGGGCGCCAATGTATTGCCATATACTCAAGGGGGGCGCAGGTGTCGTGCCATATACTCAAAGGGAGCTCGACCCGAAAGATGCTGTTTTAGACCGAGTCAGGGCATAATTAAATGCTCGGTTTGGTGCCAATCCAAATCAAACTAAATATCCCCGACTATCCCATTTGAAAACCAGTGAAAAACTGTGTCATTCCTAGCAAAATCTGGACGTAGTTTAGTCTACTGTGGCCGAAAATAAATGCCCAGTTTCTAAACATTTAAAACGTAATTAGTATAAGTTGTAAATGGTGTCCAGTTGTTATATGAACGAACAATAAAAATGTAATTATTATTCTTTGTGTATATGAGTCAGAAGAAGATAATAAAAAATTATGTTGAATACGCAAAACGTTTAGTTTATTTCATTTTGGATAAATATAAATTATTGTTTTCTATACTTTTACAATGGAATACATCTAGAACAGCTTTTCTACTTTTGGCAAAAATAGTATTAGTATTCTTTAATTTTGAGACGTATAGACCATAACATGTTAATTGTTATTCTTTGCGTATATGGACTCGAACGACCTCATTAATTTCTTACGCAGCATATACTTTAGTTTATTCATTGTGGCTGAATATAATAGATGCTGAACTATATGTTTACAACGAAAGAGTTAAAGAGATTTCTAAGCTACTAGCAGTAGGTACACTTACGTATCATGTGGGATCTCGCTTGTCTGCATGTCCACAACGTTGCCTGTACTTTTCATGTAGATGTGATGCAGGCATCGAACAAATGGCTTCTTGAGAACGTTGTCTATGGATGGGTTGTTAAGGATGGTCAGCAGTTCTTCCATTGGGAGGATGGTTTGACAGAGCGACTCAATGAACAAGTTTTCTCCCTGGGGACAGTGTTCATAATTACGTTACTTGAGAGAGAGAGAGAGAGAGAGAGAGAGAGAGAGAGAGAGAGAGAGAGAGAGAGAGAGAGAGAGAGAGAGAGGACTGATAATAAAGAGAAAGAAAGAGAGAGTCAGAGCAGGTTAAAAAAAAAACCAGAAGAGAAGACAGGGGAGGAGATTGGGGGAGAAGGAGAGAACAAAGATGGCCAAAGACCAGAGGAAGAAAGGAAATGAGAAACCAGGAGAGGAGAGAAGAAAAGGGAATTTAAAAAAAGAAGAAAAGAAGAGGGAGAGATAGGCATAGACAGACTGACAAACAGACAGACAGACAGACAGACAGACAGACAGCCAGCCAGCCAGCCAGCCAGCCAGACAGACAGACAGACAGACAGACAGACAGACAGACAGACAGACAGACAGACAGACAGACAGACAGACAGACAGACAGACAGACAGACAGACAGACAGACAGAGAGACATACAGACAGACAGACAGAGAGAGAGAGAGAGAGACAGACAGACAGACAGACAGACAGACAGACAGAGAGACAGACAGACAGACAGACAGACAGACAGACAGACAGACAGACAGACAGACAGACAGACAGACAGACAGACAGACAGACAGACAGACAGACAGACAGACAGACAGACAGACAGACAGACAGACAGACAGACAGACAGACAGACAGACAGACAGACAGATAGATAGACAGACAGACAGACAGACAGACAGACAGACAGACAGACAGACAGACAGACAGACAGACAGATAGATAGATATATAGATAGATAGATAGATAGATAGATAGATAGATAGATAGAGAGAGAGAGAGAGAGAGAGAGAGAGAGAGAGAGAGAGAGAGAGAGAGAGAGAGAGAGTAGAGCCCCAAAAATATAAGAAAGTTGGAAAATAAGACGGGTTGTAAAACAAGACCTAAAGTTTCAACTATTTAAAATTGTATAAAGTATGACGTAGAAAAAAATCAGCCGAGTTTATCCCTCATGGCTGTCCCTCTGCAGATCTACAAGTCGTCTGCCGAGAAACATGAACTCCGTAACCCTAGCGACGATCTAAAAAAAAACTGATCTTATGTACGGAACGACTCAATCTGCGAAATAAACCTACGACCTTCAAAGCACAATATAATGACTTAAACATTCTTGAATGGTTACCAGAAAAGTCCCAGGAAGTAAAGACGGCCGGCGTGATACTGATCCCACCAGCGACCGAGTGCCAGCTGGTTTATAAAATTTAGGTCTAGCACTATATGCCGGGAGAAGCCGTCGTGGTCAAGCGGCTAGACGCTCGCCTGCAGATGGTAAGGTCGTGGCTTCGGGTCCTGACGGGGAACGGACTTTTTTTTTCTTTTTCAAAATTGACCTTGGCTCCCAGGTTGACCCAGCCTTGAACTTGCACCAGCTTCAGTTCTAGGTAGCTAATGCAGCCGACGAGATGCTCACCACATCATCCACCAGGGGCTGATTAGTCTATAAAATATAGGTCTTCCCTTTTTAACTGTATGCCGAATACGCCTGAGGAAGTGGAAATGGGTACTTTACTTATGTCTCTTCAACTATTTTCCCACTTGTGGGTTCCGGAGCCCTGCTATAGGGAAAACAAGAATAGACCCACTGCCTACCCAAAAGCATGTTGTAAGAGTCGACTAATTGGGAGCTTCCTTCGAAGTCGGAATGCATCTGCATGAGAGGCAAGGAACCAGCAGTCTGCCTACAAATAAGTTAGATATGTAAAACGGATGAACACGCGACACTCAGGTTCTGGAACAGGACTGCAGTCTAAAAGCGGATTAACAACCAGAACTTATCGCCAGAGTTTGCAGCTGGTGAACGCGAAAAAGAAGTATAACCATTTCTCGTAAATAACGATTTCTCATTAGAAAAAAAAAAAAAACCAACATAAACTGTGTTTACCTCGGCACATGCAGCCAGCAGATCCAACAAACTGATGTAGTAGCGTAGCCGCGACATCTTATCATAGTGCATCAGAATGCTTTCTCTGGGGACGAATGTTGTACAAAGTTAATCAGTTTATCATGTAGCAGGTACTTTGCAAAACGTCGATTTCATCACGGTCTGCGTTAAGAGAAACTCGATCTTCGCCAGCTCTCCCGCCTGGTATACTTTCATATTCAAGGATTTACTTATATCATGTGCACATCTTCGTGTTGGTCGGCCCCTGCCCCTCATGCCAATTTTTTTTTTTTTTAAATCCGCGATGGCGCTTGATGTGACCAAAATATTTCAGCATCGGATACAAGGTGATATTAGTTATCCAATCTTTCTTGATGTTCACATCTTTTAAAATGCCAGTAATTATTCTCTTCTTTGTCCATAGTATTCTGAGAATCTTTTTTAGCAGTTCGGCTCAAAAGCATCTATCTACTTTCTTGAGGACTGAGAGATAGTCCACGACTCACATCCGTTTATTGCTACAGGGAAGATGCATGCTCTCAAAATTGTAATATTGATTTCCTTGCTGGTGCTTTACCATAAGCTTATAATACTGTTTAATCTTTGTCATTGCCAGCTCTCCCACTGTGATTATCACCATGGTCGTAAGGTAATCAACTGATCTAACTTGCAACCGCAGTGACAATATCAATAATTCCCACAACACTTGTTACAAATCACCATATCATCTTGTCCCTGCCTGAAGGGCAAGGAACAACTATCTGCATACAAATAAGCCAGATCTGTAAAAAGCAGGCACATGCAACATTCGGGTTCTGGAAGGAAACTCAAACCCAGAGGTGGATGAACAATCAAAACTTTCCGCCATAGTTTACAGCAACTGAACGCGAAGAAGAAGAATACAATCCATTTGGGATTCTTATATTTAAAGATTAGATTAAGTTGTTCTTACGAATCTTTGGACCAATCAAAGATGCAAACACTGGAGACTGAGAGTGAGAAGCAACAACGAAATTCATAATCTGTTTAGATGACCATTAATAAATGGCAGCATGAGAGCTGATAGACTGAAATGGCTGGGGCATATTGGGAGAATGTAACAAGACAGAGAGGTAAAAATATATATATATACAATGTAGCTAAATGATCGTAGACCACGAGACAAACCAAGAAGACGATGGAGAGATAATATTCAGACAGATAATCAAACACTTAGTATCACCAACTAGAAAGAGAAGGCCAACCAGAGAGATCTGTTGAGGCTGGTGATATCTGCAGCAATGCACTTCAAGAGCTCGGAACGCTAAAGAAGTAGAAGAAAAAGAAGTTCCTCAGATTGAGTCTCAACAGCATGAGATCACTGGCAGAGCTTGGAGAATAACAAGGGTTCGTTGTTGGCACCTTTCCGTTTTTCCATACGATAGTGTTTTATTGCGCTATGAGGAAGCATGGGACTCGCAGCTCATGGCGATGGCGAGTGTGACTAGCAAGACCCGCCTACGTTAAGAAAAGTCTTCCACAAATAGAGCAAGGATTTCCAGACCGTTGCTGCCATCGCATGCTTCTTATGTGTTTCTTCTTAGGCCCCAACCCTCACACTTCCTGCAAACAGTTTTTTTTTCTCCATGTTTACTCATTTATTCCGCGATTTGCCTCCTTAACGCAACACGGTCTATTATATGTCACATAGGACTTCTTCTTCTTCTTCTCTTCCACCTTTTACCTCATCGAAGTGTCGGGAGAAGATGTAATGTTCGTTGATGAGCTCTGTCAAGAGCACTATTAAGACTAATGTTCATTTCTGTAAGGCTGTTCCTAATGCCATCACATAGGACTGGACGTCTATTTCTCTATTCTGTTCATTCTGTGCACTCACTTCGATTTCAAGTACTGAATCTAGTCTAGCACCTTTGGCTTCCCACATCAACGTTCGCTGTAGGGTTTCTCTTGGACGCGGTGATAACATAAGATTGACTGCATCTTTCCCACTTAAAGAACTTAATAATTAGTAATTTTTTTTAAATTAAAACTTAACTGAGAAAAAAAAAAAATAATAATACAAAACAATGTAACGGCTTGAACCCAGACCTACCTCTCCTCTCTGGTCAAGTCCAACACAAAGGCCACTTTCTTGTAGTTCTGCATGATATACTTCATGACGTAGGCTTGGTTTCTTTTCAAGGTCAGATCTGTGCCAGCGACCTTGACAATCATGGAGAGAAGGTCTAAGAACTCGGGCCCTTTCTCTTGCAGGTCAGCAGCTCGGTTGACGATCTTCTGGATTTGCCGTGGGTTGATCTTGAGACACGTATTCTGGTTGCCATAGAACACCTGGACAGAAGAGAAACGACTCATCATCAATTAGCAAGTCCTTTGAAGAATGTCCAGCTCATCAGCTGTATATTTTTCTTGCCAATTCACCAGCCCTATGTGCTTTCACAGCCAATGCATTTTAATGTCTTTCGCAATTACTTTCGCAGTCTGTCACTGCCTCGTTTTCTGGACCAACAACCCCATACCCCTCCCTACCATATTGTCCACCCAACCCCATCATCGTCTTCTACAGGTCAGCATGAAGTTTAAGGTGGTCAAAATACTACAGGATGCTGTTTATGAGCCAATTCTCCTCGATGCTCAGTTCATAAAGGATATCGGTGTTTTTCTTCTTCTTGTTCTATGTTGTTTCATGAATTTTTCTGTAGCATTTCAGTTCTAGAGCTGAAATTTTACCCTTCTTTTTCATTGATTGAGCAAAAGTCCCTGACTCACATACATGCGTTGCCACAGGAAAGATGCATGATTTCAACATGTTTATTTCAACCCGCTTGCAAGTGCTGTTCCATAAACGATAAATAGTATTTTTTTTAAAAGAGGGGCGAGGGTGGTAGGGAAAGCAGAAGGGCATAGAAAGGGGTAGAGTAGAGAAACAGAAATTGCTAAATGCGTCTGTTGCTTAGGTATTGCGATCACAATTCATTTCTGAAATACCCAGTTCATTTTAACTGCAGGCAAATATGCAACAGACTGCTTTGCCGTAAATGTTGTTTAATTGTATAGAGAGCCGACCTTTTAGGGCAATATCAAAATACTGAAGCAAAATTGCCTAGTTCAACTACAAACGAAATGATGGGATCGTTACTGCAACGTCCTGTGAATAATACGCAAATGAATGCAGTTGACATTTTGTATCTAATAGTCGTATCCATGTGGGATGCAGTTTTTCGTTATTTGAAACCCCACCATGGCTTATGTCGGGGGCCCTAAATATGGCCGCACCATAAATATGGGCTAATGGCTAAACGGGGTTTTTGGTACCTCCACTGGTGATCCTCATCCGCATGGCGGCACGCCGTGTCGCCAGGTGTTTATCGCTTGTGTGATGTCCTGTTGGGGTAGAACTTACATATATACAGTTGACATAACATTATGGCCTCATTATGATGAAATATATTTACAACATTCTTACCCCCATCATATAGCTATATTCACATCCTGAAATACGTAACAACATCGACAACAAAACTGGTGATCCAGCATGCTTCCATTTCTTGCTCTTGTCTTTTGTTGCTCGGCTCAAAATGAGGATAACATGACTCATTAGCTTCCCTATATGGCAGAGAATCGCATCACCACCCATTCTCCTTCTTTTTCTTTCGTTTGTTTGAAATAAATTATTTATATCTGCAATGTTATCTCTAGTATAAATCTCACTGTCTGTTGTAATTCACTCAGCGACCCGTAAAGGCTTGCACCGGTTTCCGCTTGGTCACAAGTTTTGCCTTGATATGTTGTATTTGGGACAGTCTTGGATGTCGCGATCTGTTGTCTCAGTTGCTAATCCACATGTGCACATGGCTGATTCGCCTACCTTAAATTTTGTTTACATATGGCTGCGAAGTTGCTTGTGTAACCCACCCACTCTGTAATGCAGCAAGTGGTTCAAACACTAATCCCTGCAACAAACAGTAAGGAAAAATGACCTCCTGTACGCCAGAATAAAAACAGAAAAGAACTATCTCTGATTCAGCATGAGCCTGGGTAACAGACAGTGTAGCATACCTCTCTAAGGGCAATAGCCAGGTCACTTTCCACTACACGGACGTCGAGAAGAATGTCCAGTCTCTCAAAGATGTGCATCTGAACAGTCTCGTTCTCTCTTGCCAGCAGCTTCAGCAGGTACAGAGTCTTTCTGAACACGGAAGTCATTCCGCCGTATTGCTCCTGTTAAGGTCATAGAAATACTATATCGTTACTCACTTATGAGTTGAGAGCAGTCACCATAGCACTTAATTCCAACGTAGCGCGATCGAAAGCCACTGCCGGCTGCGTGGATTTACCTGGAAGGTCGACCCAGCCTAAAAATTGGTACCAGGATGCATGTCATGGCGAAGTAAAGACGTCCAGCGTAATGCTGACCATATTACCTGCCTAGTGCCGATTGCTTTTTTAAAATATGGGGTGCTTTTCTCATATGCCTGATGCGCCCAGGGCTTAAAAAAGGATCTTTACTTTTACTTTATCATAGCACTCGTGACATCCCTATAAGCGTTCCGTCCTCATCTTCAGCAGTAAGCGCAGATTTTAAATTTTGATGGTACCGTATCAGTTTGATTGTATTGTATGCCTGCCTCGCCCCTTCTCTGAGTGTTGAGCGTCGGCAAGTTTCCCTGGTCATTCTTCGCCGCACCTTTCCTATCAGACCGTGCTGATCTGTTTATGCCTTCGAACTGTTTACTCCCCCCAAAAGGGCCCTTACAACATCTAGCTTGCTACGCATCCATTTACCACGAGGTGATGCAGAACCAGGCAATCAATCTGCCTGTTCAGTTCTTTATGTATGCTCTTCATCGCTTCTTTCTTCAACCATCTCCCTATTTTTCCTTTTCCCAACGATACTTCTGCTTCTTGTGTGTGTGTGTGTGTGTGTGTGTGTGTGTGTGTGTTTGTGTGTGTGTGTTTGTGTGTGTGTGTGTCCCTCCTCTTCTCCACATTCACCTCCCCTACTCCTCGCCCTCCTCACCTTCCTTCTTGTTGTTCTTCTTGTTGTTCTTCTTGTTGTTCTTCTTCTTGTT